TTTATTTGATTTATATACCACCCATCTAGCCAAGGACCACTCTGGGCAGTTTACAACATGAAACAAAACTAAGCAACAAAGCAATAAAACATCCTTATCAATTTAAAAATAAATACATCATACTACATCATAAGTTGGCAGTGATGAAATAAATCTGACAGATTAGAATGATGATGATATAAATTTTTGTGCTACAGCCTATTGCAAGTTCTTTCTAATTTCTTTGTCCATGATAAAGGAATTTTTCTTCTCTCCCACTTTTGCATCTGGACAGTCATCTCTTGGAACTGTTTCAAATTAGTTGTCAAAGACTTTAAATATACTTGCTCTTAAGAACAGAATGTAGACCACCTGACAGCCCACTGTGAAGAATTTGCATGGCACTTTGCTGACAAAGTTTTGCAAACCTCCTCTGATTTAAACAGTACAGTTAACACAGGTCCTATGGATGTAACTGTGGGCCCTTCTTGTCCTACAGTAATGGATGTGTTTCAGTTTGTGCTGTCTAGAATATAAACAGGATCTCTAGAGAGGTAAGAGACGCCACAGATGTACTGGACCCTTTCCCTTCCTGGCTTATAAAAGCAGCCAAGAACAAGGACTGGCCAGATGGGTAATGAGAGTAGTGAATGCATCCTTGTAGCAAGGCAGGATTCCGGCATACCTAAAGGAGACAACAGGAAGATTACTACTGAAGAAGCTCTCCTTGAATCCTTATGGCGCGCACCCCCAGTGTCCCTAGTTTGTTTCCCTCAAACCCAGGTCCACCTTTGGACACTACTTGCTTATTGCTTTTTTCACCAACTGCCACCAATGGATCTTGATCCACTATTTACCATAGATGTTGCAAAGACACATGTATTAAGATATAATTGATTCTTTATTATTTTGTTGTTAAATTGCATAAATATTAATCATAGATGTTTTATTACATTGCACTCATCGCTTGGGTATTAAACAAGTTTCTTTATGGGCATCACTTTTCGTATTAATAACTGTTAATCACTGGAATATTTATTTATTTATTTATTTATTTACAATATTTTTTAGCCGCACCATTGCCAATACTATCAGATGACTGTCTATTATACTTCTATCTTTTATTCTTTAACCCATAAACCAACTATACCACATCAACTTTCCCTTCTCTCTCATTAAAGCTCTCTAAACCTCTCTTCTCAATCTCTCTCCGTCTCCCAACTGCCTCTAACTGTCCCCTTGACTCCGCCCTCCTGTCCTCTCATAGGCTCCAGCTCTAGAGTGCCACATGATGGACAGGTGGGACATGGGCATTCTGCCACACCTACCAAGTAAATAATTGCCAGTCATTTTAAACTGAGCTCTGAGGATTCTTGTGTATAGACTGTCTAGCTCCATTTCAGCTTGCCCTCTTTTGAGAAGGAGATGGCTTTAGTTGCCTTTGTGCATGATCATGCTAGGAACTGTATGGGGAAGTGTGTCTCTGTTGCTTCTGTTAGAGGCTTTCAGTACCACTAGTCATGACATCCTTTTGTGCTGTCTCTCTGGAATGGGACTTGGAGAGACTGATTAACAATGACCGTGGTCCTCTCTGCAGGAGAGTGCTCAGACACAGTGCTGAGAGAATCCTTTTCAACACTCTGCTCATTCCCCCTGTGGGATTCCCCAGTGTTCTGTTCTATCTCTCACATTATTCAACATATGTCCGAAAACATTAGGAAGGATGATTCAGAGTTTTGGGTTTTTTTGCCACAACTATGCTGATGACACTCAACCTGTTTTGGTTTTAGACAAGTACAGTATCTTATGTCAGTAATGAACTGGTTGAGGACAAAAAACCTGAAGCTTAGTCAATACTAGACACAAGTGTTCCAGGTCAGTCAAAAGGTAGATCATGGAGTAAGGATTGTACTGGATGGCATCACACTGCCCCTAAAAACACATTTTGCAGTTTAGGTCACTCCTGGATTTAGCTCTGAATCTGGATGCCTAGGTTTTGAGAATGGCTTTGGACTGTTGAAGCTAGTGTGCCAACTACGTTCTTTCCTTGAGATGTGTGACAGGCTACAGTGACACATGTCTTAGGATGCAGCTACATTGGTCATTTACCCAATTTGCATCGGATGAATTCAAATTAAGCGGCCCAGAGTAGACTTCAGTCTAGATAGGCGGGGCATAAGAAAACAAACAAACAAACAAACCAAACAAACACTACATGGGAATAGAGCTAATATGGGGAGGCCCATTTTGTAGTGCAGTAGCCTGTTTTAAGTGGAGAAACGGCATTTTTGTTCCACCAGCAGGGGTGGTTTAAATTTGCTCTGAACATCATCACTTTTCTTCTCTTTCTGCTGTGTTTGATCGTCTGATCCAGAGGCAAAGAGGCACTCATGAGGGTGTCATTTCCCCTCGACTTAGTGCCCCTTGTCTCCATGCAGTATTTCTTTTTTTTAAAAAAAAATTAAAAAACGTTCAAGAAGTGCTGCAACAGAGAATCACTAGGTCACTTATTTATTTCTTTATTTTTGAAAAAATAAATGAAAATTGCCAATAAGCACTTTGAGAAGGGCAGCTTTTCACTTTCTGCCTGTGCCCCTACTGCAAACTGTGTGTCATGTGGACAGTGATTTCACCTGTGGAAACTCAATTTTGAAAAACTGTGGATCACAGTGGAACTAAGCATATTTTCCCAGGGTGCAGTCACACCTTAAGTTACAACTCATCTGATTTACCACAACACACTCTTATGTAGGCCTGCCTTTGAAGAGTGTTCAGAAACTTCAGAGATGCAAAATGCTTTAGCTAAACCCCCTGATCAAGTTGGGTTTTGAAAAATTGAACCCAGTGTTACCAAGCTGTTTCCAGACCTGTGTTCAGTGTCACCTACAGGAAGAGGAACCTATCCTTGCTCCAGGGTTTTGCGCAAAGTTACTTCAGTGAAAATGTATTTAGCTTGCATTGTTCAGTTAAAACTATTCAGAGTCAACTCTCCTTATTATCTTTTATCTTTCATTGCTTGAGCCTGAGACTCAACCAACCCTGTATCATATAAGCATTGAAAATGCCTGTTAAATCTCATGGATAGTTTGCTTTATAGTGAAAATGTTCTTTTAGCCCTTTAAACCGCAGCACAATTCGAACGACTTAAAATTTCATGTCATCTTGTGTGTAAAATACTGCGGTTTGGAACTAGGTAGATTTTGCATCATTTATCCACAAAGAGATTACTGTAATTGGAGGCTTTGTTGTTATTATCTGGATTTTGTTGGGTGGATGGTTTCAGAATTCTAAGGAGGCAGTGAAGGATGACATTCATTGCTCATATTGATCAGAGGATATTTTTCAGGTGAAAGGGCACATGAGTTTAAGGATGACTTCAGTCCTCTTTGTCCATGATAAAGATGTAGTGATATGAGCTCCATATTTAGCCCTCTTGTCTCTCTTGGTGATCGTTCTGGAGGTTTTTTGTCTCTCTCCCTCTCCCTCTCTCTCTCTGATCTTGTCTCTCCTGGTGATCATTCTGGAGGTTTTTTTGTCTCTCTCTCTCTCTCTCTGTGTGTTTGTATAAAAGACTTAAAAACAGCAGTGATGAGGTAAGTAGATGGAACTAGTTCTGAAGCAAAGTTGTATTAAAGACTTAAAAACAGCAGTGATGAGTTAAGTAGATGGAACTAGTTCTGAAGCAAAGGGGTTAAAACTCTCCCTTAATCTTTCCCATTTGTTTCTCCTTCCACCATGACAAGAAAGAGAGAGAGAGAGAGAGAGACTTCCTCCTTCCACCGTGACAAGAGAGAGAGAGAGAGAGAGACATGTGTCAATATTGCGCATGTGGGATTCTTTTTTTCCTCACTGTGGCTAATAGATCCTTATTGTGCATGTGGGTTTTTTTTTCCTCACTGTGGCTAATAGATCCTTGAGGGTAAAATCTGAGCATGGGAAAAATGAAGTGGGAAGAGTTAACCCCTCCTCTGGACAGCACCACACGCCAGTCCAAGTTAGTCCTCCTTAAAAATGCTTTTAATCTTTCCTTTCCTTTCCTTTTAAATTGGAGTGTGTGGATGTCCATGAGCAATCCATCCACTTGAAGGAAAGGGAATTGCAATGAATGGGAAAGTGCATTAATGTGTAGAGCAAAGCTGTTCTTTAAAAAAAATCCTTATATCTCTCTTCGTGGAGGATAAGACTTTGCATGGCTAGTAGTTATTAGCTGTGTTATCTGCAGTAATAGAGACAGTATGTCTATGAATACCTGTTATTGGGGAACAAAAGTAGAAGGACACTCCCTGGGTGGTAGTTGTCCCTCAAGCATCTATTTGTCATCCCGGTTTGACTATACTGTATATATAGTCAAACTGGGATGAGAAATTCATTGTTATATCTATACATTTATTTATATATACTGTATGGTTTGTTCAGTTTCACATTCTACAAAAGAGAAGACTGATAAAAGTTAAATTGGCTATAAGCTAGCATAACTGATATAAAAGTAGAATTTTGCACATGTGAGAGATCAATCCACCACTATATAAATATAGCGGTGAGTAGAGCCTGATATGATCTCTGCTGGAGGAGCACCAAAGACCTCTTCAACTCTAACATTCCATTCCCCCAATAGACAAATAGATGCTTGAGGGACAACTACCACCCAGGGAGTGTCCTTCTACTTTTGTTCCCCAATAACAGGTATTCATAGACATACTGTCTCTATTACTGCAGATAACACAGCTAATAACTACTAGCCACTATAGCCACTACTAGTTAAATATTATGACTATATACAGTCAAACTGGGATGAGAAATTCATTGTTACATCTATACATTTATGTTAAACTTCTAGATGAGAGTATATATAGATTCTCATCCAGAAGTTTAACATAAATGTATAGCTGTAGCTACGAATTCTTCATTCTGGTTTGACTATTTAAAAGATTTTATTACTAAGAACAAAATAAAAGTTAAACAGTTCAAAATGTCTTTCATTAAATGGTGTGTTTTTACAATAATTGCTTTTTTGCCCTTAGGAATTTATCAGGGAACATTTTTTCAAGTCTCATGAATGGAGTTTTCTCTGAGCTGTTAGCTCTGAAAGCCTTGTAAGTATGTCTGGACTGTGTGAAATATGTGTTGACTTTGTATCATCTGTGCGTGCGCATATGCACACACACACATGCGCACGCGCACACACATACATGTGATGTGGTGCGCACGTGTGTGCGCGCAGACACACACTCTTTTGTGTTCAGCTTCATTGTTATCTTGATTTTCAGGGCCTTATGTTCCCTGAAAGTAATGTTCATTTTTATGTACATTTTGTAAAACACATTCTATTTCTTTTTCTGCATGCAGAACTAACTTCAGATGTCTGGAATATTAAACAATTTTTTGGAGCCAGAGTAATAAGGTTGCAATAGTAGTTTTATGTAGGCCTTTTTTACTTGAAGTTCTATTAAAAATACTAAAGCTTTATGGTTAATTTCCCTTACATTTTATGAAGGGATGAATGGAAGCAGAGGACAAACAAATTAATTCTTTACAACATTTGCATAAAACCTCTTATATGTTCATTATAACTCTACTTAGATTAAAGGTACATATTAGATTTAAAACATTTAAATATTCATCCTTGTTAGCAAATAAGGCAGATTTTATTAAACAATAAAAAGACAGATGAAAAATTAACTAGAGTGTAGAGGGCAAATAGTGTTTTTATAATTACGTGCATGTGGAAGTTAAATATTATGACTCCTAGACATTTATTAACTTCACTGTACTAGAACTGGAATTTAGTCATAATATACAGTAATGGTGGAACTATGGGCTATGAAAGACTAAAGATTTGGAAGGCTGTATGCTTAGGGCTATGAGAACTCCTTTTTTTCCATCTGAAATGCCATTTCAAAATTCCCAAACTAAGAATTAAAATCAATTTTATCCGTAATTTCTGAAAACTGGATTTGTACAGCTCAATAAAAACTAACCTTTGAATCGCATGTACCTGCTGTAAAGATTATCTTAACCGTATGCCATACAGCTAAGGAGAAGCCATACACTCATACAAAGAAAGCGTGTACAAGCCACACACCCACACGTATACATATATGTATGTGTGTGAATACCTAGGTTTCTCTATTACATGTATAGAAACACACATATGCAACACCCACACATACACATATCTCAGGTACCATTTGCAGCACTGAAGGATAGGAGGGGATGGCAAATTAAGTACCATATTAAGAGTTGTAAGAATACTCAGACACCCAGAAATGAAATGAAAGTTATCAAACTGGATCCTGCCCCCCCCCCAAATTTATTACATCTTGAATCTTATTAATTGATCAGAGGTAGTAATAGTGCATCCGCATGCAGCAGAAAGTTGCATGTTTGGTGTTAAGTCATTGTTTAGCTGTCTGAGAACCCAATCAAAGCATGTGAATTAAAATCAGTAGTACTGTTTATATATGACAACTGTAACACAGAACTAAGAAGAAGGAGAAAAATGACTTTGGATGTGAATGAGAAGTCCAATTAGAAAAAAATTGTTTGCATTTTCTTTGAATCTATCATAAATATCCAATGTGAACACCGTCCCTCTCTAATGGGGGCAATGTCCACATGGAAGCATATGCTCATTTTTAAGGTGAAAGATAGTGAGTATTCTCATTTTTTCTGTCTCTTGTGTGTTTTATTAGCATTCAACCCTACTCACACTGGAGCAAAATGAGATAGCTGTCGAACAGGGTTGATGTTTTCCTCAGTAGCTATATATGACATTATGTAAAAAAGAACTTCTAAAGAAAGAATATTTCTTTATTTGGGATTTGCTTTCAGACATTTCTATACTGATTCTCTCATCTGTGACTGTAATCTCAAATGGGTCTTACACTGGTCTAGAAATGTCTCAGTACGGATATCAGAAGAAACGATTTGTGTTTTCCCAAGGAGTTTACGAGGAACACCATTTCGGAACCTGAAAGAAAATCAGATGACATGTGGTGAGTTTTATATGTGTTTCCAACCTGATAAATTGAACGAAACATATATGCAGTAAAGTGTATACTGATGGTCTGGTTTCAAGTGGTTAGAGTTATAAGAAAGCCAACTTGAGTCCTTTGAAAGGAGAAAGGCGGGATATTTTTTTTTAAAAAAATACATAATAAATAAAGCAAACATAAGGGAAATTGGGTGCTTCCAGACTCAGGACTCCTGGTGCTACCAGTTAAAAGGTACTGTTTTATTTTTCATCCTGAGCAGATTTATTTCTTCTCATCAAAAAAAACCCCATGGAAAACGGGGAAACACAGGGATATTACAAATGGAAGACCATATTGTCTAGGTTCTCTCCCCTTCCCCTCACGAATGCAGCAGGGCAATTGTAAAACTGAAGTCTTATTTGGAAGCTAAGGGCCAAGGTTTAAGAAAGTAAATACTGTATATGTGTATATAATCATTAGGTCACCACAGGTGAGCTAAATAAAGCTACACTGTACATCTATCAGTCTCCTCTTCTGACTTTGACATAAACATTATTCATTTATATGTAATGTCACAGTGGTATTCCTTATTGCATTGTATATATAAAATAAAATATTCAATTTTCATTGGATTATATGTTTGACAACATGAAATAAATGTCAGATAGAATTTTTTAGCAAGTCACCTTTACTAACTTTGTAGGATATGTGTTGTAGAATGTTTTTCTGGTGGAGGGAAGAATTAATTTTGGCCAGCATAAGCTTGCACTGAAATATTTTTTAATGTGAAATAAAAAAAGAGATAAAGGAGATATAAATGAGATAAAGTAATAAGAGTGAACAATGAAACAATTGTAGTGCACTGTAATTGTAATTGTACTGCACTGTATATTCCAGAGACATTTTCTTCATTATCAGATCCACCTTAAAAACTACAAACATAAACCAGAGAGTCTGAACTCATTACTGTTTTGTTCTTGTAGTCATCCATTGCCTGGGTAATTCACCCACCATTGTAGCTGCTTACAAAATATCCTATAAAGGAATGACCATTAACAACTGAAAAAGCCAACCTCCTTAGTATAATTAACATGTTATTTCTACCATTGTTATTCTATATCAGAGGTTTTTGCAGTTTTTATAGCATAAGCTTCAACTGAATAGATCAGTATATCAAACAATCACCCCACTGTTAAATTCCCCATTGACTTTTTCACCCACTATTATCTCTGTATTTTGATGCCATATATAAAGATCTGTCACATTATATCTCTCTATTATGTCAGAGGAAGTGGATTTTATCCATGAAAGCTCATATGAAAATATAACAGTTAATCTTTAAGATCCCTCCGTGTTTTTGTCAATTTTCTGTTGATAGTTTGTGTTAATGTGTTCACAGGACATAAGGAGATATCATGTTGCAAAGAAACTATAACATTGAGAGAGTAAAATTCAACTTAATCTATTTACAAATATACAGAGAGCATAGACATTCATCTAGCTGCATAGTATGACATGATACAACATGGAGCATAGGAAAAAAGTGATCTGACTTACAATATAAGATGTCCCTTTTACACATGCCTTTTATACATTTTTGGGACCAATCAGAAAATACGTTACTTCATTGCACACATACATAAGGTTACATCATTTTCTCCAGCTGTATAACATTCAGTCTTCAACCTTGGTACCCACACCTGAACCCACTCAGTATATGACTCAGGTAAAATCAGCCATTTTACTTTCACTATACAACATTTTTATTTAATACATTTTGAGGTCAAAATCTCAGCATTTTCATCTCCTTTGTTATCTCCAAGCTGTATTACTGTGTTCTTCTGTGTAAATTTCACAATGTGAATAAAGGTGGCTCTGGAAGTTTGTTTTATTTTATTTGTTTGTTTTTTATATTTATATACCAGCATTTTAATAACCTATATTTGTAAGTATAAATGTATTGTATTTTTAAAAGCACCTCCCACAATACCATGAAAGTTCGTGGCTGCTGAGATGTTAGAAAGGGAGCCAAAATTTATGTAATCTTGAACAAGCGGAAGACAGTTGTGTTGCTTTTTGACATTATACATATGGACTTCCTTGTACGTTTAGGGAATGCACATTCAATAGTTGTTGAACATGCATTCAATGGCTGTCAGATAATAACTGAGAGAGGTTTTGCTGTCCTCACAATTCCTTTCTGTTAGCCCATGACCACTGGAAAATGTGTGGTCCAATATATTTAGGACTTTGATATTATGAAAGAACAACACTACACCATGTTCAGCAAATTAATGCAGACGAAATCCAATAGTTAAATGGCATGAAAAGCCATGACCAATCACTGCATTTTAAAGCAATAACATGCCTCTGCATTTTCCTCCCTAGGAAGACTGAGGAACTTTTTATTCCTCTCCCCACAGTCTGAGGTTCTTGAGGGATGCCTTTCAACCTGAGGAGTCTTTTGGGAGAGAGACTGTTATATCTAAAAATCAATGCCACCAGTCCCTATCCCAGCAGCAGGCCAGCAGTAGTGATTTTCTTATACTAAAGGCTCCATTATTGTCGTCAATCCAACACATTTTTGGTCTTCCTCTTTTCCTGTTTCCTTCAGCTTTTCCTAGCATTATTGTCTTTTCTAGTGAATCTTGCCTTCTCATTATAAATCCAAATACAACATCCCCAACTTCTTCTTTTTTTTCTAGAGAGTATTCCGGCTTCTTTTGATCTTTTGATCATCTGCTTATTTGCTGTTCTGGCAGTCTGTGGTCTCTGTAAAACTCTTTCTCACATCACATATCTAATGTATTGAGGCTTTTCCTATAAATTTTCTTCACTGTTTCACTTTCCTTTCCATACATGGTAAATACCATCAGATAGGTGATCTCAGCCTTTGTCTCCAGTGACGCATTATTACATTTGAGAATCTTTTCTGGTTTCTTCTTAGCTGCCCTTCTGAGTCTTTCTCTTTCTCTGATTTATTGGCTGCAGCCTCTATTTGAATTCCATTGCAGATGCAATAATGCATGCCTTTTTATGTGAGGTGGTTTGGTATATTCCCAATCAGCGGGTGTAAGAAAGATGCTGAGAGAAGCCAAAAAAAAATAATGGTTTCAGAGCTTTGTAAGATTGGGCATAGGAAGCAAGGCATAGGAAAGCTGTAATATTTCTACGAAGAACACATAACAGCAGGGATTGGAAACTTTATTACAATTCAGTACTGGCCTGTTCTAGATTTAAGGGAACCTTTGGTAAAATATCTTCTAGCAGGCCTTCATAATTAGCACTTCCCATCCTGTAACATGGGTTACCTCCAGTGGCCTTCTGTGCTCCAAGATGAGTAGCATTGCGTGTTGTGGAGCTGCCATTCAGAATTCCCACAATGGACCCAGAATAAAGTAGAACTAAACTTGCAGTAGTAGCTTGGCCCCACAAGAAGGGGGTGTGCAGTTCAGAAAGGACACGTCTGCAAATTCTCAACCACCCACAACAACAAACAAACAAAAAACCCAAATACTGTATGTTAAAGATCCCGCTATATAATAAAGATAGTAAGAGAGATTGGAGTCCTGACCTGTTTGCCCAGTGTAGCATCATGGTTAAAATGGGACAAACCTGGAAGGATTGTACTCCTCAGATGTTTAAAATTGCAAGTCCCTGAATGCTTCACTATTACTTAAGCTAGTTTGGAGATTGTAAGCCAAAAACATCTGGAAAGCTACATTTGACCACCTGTGCTTTAGGCCAGTTTTCACCTATTCAGAGGCAACCTTTTCTCATGCTGATCCTGCATCATTCCATGCTCCGTGCTACAGTATTTCATAGTTTATTTTCTTTCAGATCTCTATTTATTAGAGGATTTATGATTTCCCCCCCACTCTTAGTCTATGGTTCTCCTTCATTTGTGTGACAGGTAAAATGTTCACGGATGATTGTCAGATTTCATATACCCCAGCATCAAAGCTTGTTATAAAAATTAATAGTTTGCCATAGCAAGTAACATTTTAGAAAAAACTTTCTCTAGTGAATTAAATACTGTACAGAATTGATGCCACCTGGTGGAATTCTGGAAGTTTGGACTTGTGTTTGTTTTTGCTCAGAGTCATTAAAACATATGTATAAAATACAGAGAGTACAAGGTCTTTCTAGGGTATAACTGTCCAGGCAATTTTCCCAATTTGTTCTAGATATCATACTTCTTTCGTATTTAGTGGCTAGTTCTCTGCTGAAAAAAAAATTCTGCTTGATTGTGTGTCTGTTCTGTCTGTATTTATGTCCATTTTTTTCAAGGAGAAACCCAAATAATTATGTAATCTTTTGCAATTTTTTTAATGTACCAAAGGGTTGGCAAAAGGATAGTGCTGAGGGGTGTTTGTGTGTAACCTTTCTTCTTTTTAAAAAGCATTTAATTCTGTGGTATGTATCCTAGAAACAAACAAAAAAAACACAACAACTATTGATCCTTATTCTAGTCCCATACAGACCCTCGGCAAGCCACATAATCTGTTCATGTTATATCCCTGCATTTATCTTTGATGTTTTAAAGTTATTATTAGTTTTATAAACATTTTATGTGTGAAACTAAGCAAAATTGAATTCTTCCAAGTCTTCCCAAGTGTTTGGCAGAACAATCGGATATCCAGAATACACCAAAACCAGAGGGATACCACGTCTGAACCAGAAAGCTATATCCAAGTTCATTTTTTAGCTGAAATTGGAGTGGATAAAATATACAGTAAATAGAAAATACAAAAATTGTGAAAATCAAAAACAACCCAGCAGACATACTACATTCCAGTGTCCCTGGAAATCCGGACAGGGAATGTGAGTGTAACCAGTTAGAGTGATTGTTCCATGCTGATACAGCCTCATGCCCATATTTCTTTTTGCTCAGGATACTTTATTTGAAATGTCCAAATAATGGATAATATTAGCAACATGTCACTTCAACCCCCCTCCCCATTACCTTTACCCCTCGTCCAATACTACTACCTTTTCCTCTGTCCCTTATACTCCCTTTG